CCTGCTATGGGTTTCGATAGGGTTTAGGGTTTAAGGTTTAGGGGTTTAGGGGTTTAGGGTTTAGGGTTTGGGGTTTGGGGTTTGGGGTTTAGGGTTTAGGGTTTGTAGCGTTTTGGGGGGTGTAGCGTTTATACAGGAAATTAGGGGCTTAGGGGTTTAAGGTTTAGGGTTTAGGGCTGAGAGGGATTTAGGGTTTAGGGGTTTGGGGTTTAGGGGTTTAGGGGTTTAGGGCTTAGGGTTGAGGGGTTTAGGGGTTTGGGGGTTTAGCGTTTAGGGGATTAGGGGTTTAGGGGTTTAGGGCTTAGGGTTGAGGGGTTGAGAGGGATTTAGGGTTTAGGTTTTAGGGGATTAGCGTTTAGAGTTCAGAGGGTTGAGGGGATTAGGGGTTTGTAGCGTTTAGGGTTGAGAGGGATTTCGGGTTTAGGGTTTAGGGTTTAGGGGTTTAGGGTTGAGTGGTTTAGGGTTTAGGGTTTAGTGGTTTAGGGGTTTAGGGTTGAGTGGTTTAGGGTTTAAGGTTTAGTGTTGAGGGCATTAGGGTTTAGGGGTTTAGGGCTTTAGGGGTTTAGGGGCTTAGGGGCTTAGGGTATAGGGGTTTAGGGGTTTAGGGTTTATAAGGTATAGATTATATAGCTAAGACTATCTATGTATATTAACATCATCGTATTCTCTAATTATAGCAGGGCTTCTTATAGTATGGTATATTAATGTCTCTTCCGCTATATCATGGCATACTATACTTTTGTCATAGTCTATTCTATTCGTAGGGGACTCGCGGGGCTTTTGGGCTTTAGGGTGTTCAGGGCTTTAGGGTTTTAGGGTTCAGGGTGTTTGGGGTTTAGGGTTTTAGGGCTCAGGGTGTTTAGGGTTTGGGCTTTAGGGTTTAGGGTGTTCAGAGCTTTAGGGATTTAGGGCTTCAGGGGCCTGCAACGCTTTTTTGTTTTTTTGTTTGTCGGGCCTTCCGGGGCTTCTACGTCTTTCGTCTTTTTGAGTGGGGGGGGGGTCAGGATTCTATAGAGTGCTCTAGAAGGTTTGGGAGGGTATTTTTTTAGACGGCTTGAGTTTAAAGAGCTTGGAGGTTGAAGCGTCCGAGGTTTGGGTGCAGGGGTGATTTTACCGGTGCTCGATGATGTCTAGAAGTTTTTGTAGAGGTAAGGATGTACGGCTTTAGGTTTCGGGCGAAGGGCCTTTGTGAAGGCAGAATGGCAAGGTCCCCCCTGCCTGTTGGGGTGTTGCGCTGAGGTCCTCGACTTCCGGACGGCAGCAGAAAGCGGCTCAGTGAAACGCCTAATATGACCCAAAACCAACCCCAAACCCTAAACCCCTGAACCGCCAAACCCGAAACCATACACCCAGAATGCCCTAAACTCTAAACCTTAAAGCCCCAAAGGCCCCAAACCCAGATAAGCTCCCAAACAAAGATGCTATGTGTTAGAGCAAGTCCATGACCCAAAAATAGGAAAGCAACTCCTTCGAAGTGAGGCTTTGCTTTTTCTTCCTACCACCATTGTTACTCTTGAATAGCCGTCTTCTTCCGATTTGGCTAGTATCGTTAGGGATAACTGTTACTCTGATTCTACGGCTTTGCGCATTGAAACCCTAAACCCTAAACCCTAAACCCTAAATTTAGGATCGGACAGGCTGAGGCCTGCAGCGGCTCGGATTCGAGGGCTCTTGGTCCCCGAACCCCCCTGAGCCAGGACCCACTCGAAACTCCAAGCCTCTCAGAGCCCCTAACCATGGATTAGGCTTAGGGGGTGTAGGGTTTAGGGTTTAGGGGTGTGGGGTGTGGGGTGTAGGGTTTAGGGTGTAGGGGCGTAGGGTGTAGGGTTTAGGGTTTAGGGGTGCGGGCAGTAGGGCTTAGGGCTTCGGGGCATTGGGTGCAGGGTTTAGGGGTGTAGGGTTTAGTTCTTTAGGGTTGAGAAGCTCTGTTGTACAAAGGCCCAAGGCACTGAGCTTGTCTGCAGCGATGGACCGCTAGGCATGACCTTGTGTAGAGCTCAGCGCATATGATGCGAGCAGCTGCAGTGGAGGGGGCAGGGGTCACGTCCCAGGAAGCATACAGTTGCCTAACCTCGTGTTGTACTTACATGCGCGGGTCCTCGAACGCTATGTACTCCAGGACGGTAAGTCGGCAGGCTACTGAGTTCACGAAGCGTCAACGACATGGTTGCAGGTGTTTCGTCTGGAGTCGCTGCTGTGGGGAGTTGGGCTGTCTCCCGTGACCCCCGACTCTATGAATCCAAACTTATCCTTCACCGGGACCGTTTCCTATATTACATAACCGAGCCTCCAACAGCCATACTGGCCATACTAATTAGTCAGGGCCGTAATCACAGCCCCGAAGAAAGGGCTCAACACCGATGTTCATACGACTTCTGGGTCGCGCATATCAGCATTCGGAATGGGAATCAGGTCACTCATCGTTTTACAGATCGCCCGGCAAGCCTACTATCGGCCAAGAGCTCCATCCCAATCACCGGTTCCCAAGCACAACCCTCGGCCCTTAGCCCAGAGCCTTTTTCCCTGATGCCTTTTCGGAAGATCTGGGATCATGCAGGGCATAGTCATCATCAAGGCACTGCTTGACAAATTCGGTTTCTTCTTAACGGTCGTCGTTCACTTCCGCGGGTACTGCTGCTCCTTCTCCTACTTCTACGGTTACTACTCCTACTACTCCTACTACGCCTACGACTCCTACTTCACCACCTCCTGCTGCTGCTACTACTACTACTACTACTACGCCTACTACTCCTACTTCACCACCTCCTGCTGCTGCTGCTGCTG